CTCTATTACTTCAGCTAACTTCTAAAGTTTTTTTCTCTGCCCCAACCCCCCTCCCCAGTCATATAACACTGTTCACTCATTTTGAGTTCAACTAAAATCTGTTATTATATTTTTACTTGAGCTATGTAAGCCATTCATTACCTCTAACTTTGTAGTTAAATTTTTTTAGGTTTAATTGCAGGACCCCCTAGGTATCCAAATTACATGCTGTCTTATTAGATTCAGCTTATTTTTCCGAGCCAATTGAGCAATTTCATAAAAAAATATTTTATTGATTTCAGAGAGGAAAGGAGAACAGAGAGAGAGAGAAAAAAACATCAGTGATTAGAGAGAACCATTGATCAGTTGCTTCCTGCATGCCCCAAACTGGGGCTCAAGCCTGCAACCTGGGCATGTGCCCTGACCAGGAATCGAACCATGACCTTTTGGTTCATAGGTCAACATTCAACCACTGAACCAAACTGGCCAGGCGAGCTATTTTTTGATACTGTGATCTGTGTTGTTGTTTTTTTGACCCACTCCCCACCTTGGAATGATTTTTCATGCAAATCATTGATGACAATATTGGTTTATCATGGGATTGAGAAAGAGCCCTTTGCACCTTCACTCACATTCTCATGGATTCATTGATTACCTCTCCGTGGATCTGATCCTTGAACCAGTTTCCAACCCACCTACTTGAGTTAATCATCCACTTATATTTCTCCTGTTTTGTCCACAAAGGTAGCATGAGAAATCTTGTAGGAAGCCTATGGGACTTCACATGGTCTCTAGCATTTTCCTGAATTGCAACTCTTACAATCTGGAGAAGAGAAGGACACGATTATCCTGACATAACTTGTTCTTAGTCACTCCATGTGGATCCTCCTTATCTCTGGTTCCTATTCTAAGGGTCTGCAACCATCTCTTTAATAACAGAATCAGGATCCGTGTTTATCTACTTCTAAGCATAATCAAAATGGAAATTTACATGGCTGTTTCCCTCTCCCAGTTGTGCTACCTAATTGCTTCACTTCTCTTTTTCCTTCTTTTGTGTGTTTCAAATAGGTACCGTCGCAGTTACGACTCGGATTTCACGGCGCCCTTGGTCTTCTATCACGTGTGGCCTGCCCTCATGGAGAATGACAACGTCGTTATGAAGGGGGAAGCTGTCACCAAGAGAGGGGCTTTTGTACGGTGGCCTTGCGTTGTGACAATTCGTCCCAAGTGTTTGATTCACAAGTTCGAGAACATTTATACACCCAGAGATTCTATAAAAGAAGCTCATAAAGAGTTGTTTGATAAGATTTCATACGAAGGAGAGGAAAGGGATTGGCTGGGAGAGAGCAGATTCTTTTCTTTGATTCGTCCACAATTCTTCATAGTTTCTTGGCAGTAATTTCTTTGCCTGTTGCTTTATTTATAAGATAGAACTAATCCTACCTGCCTCCCCTATCTTAGAAATATTAAGCCATTACAAAGGCAAAACCTTTTGAGCTCACCTTATGGGAGGCTCTCTGTAACGCTAAGCATTCAAAAGGGATAAACTTTCAAGAAAGAGTTTGCCAAATTTTTACTGATGAGTCGCCATTTTGGGAAATGATAACTGTGCCATTTTTCTCTCCTTGGTATGATGTGTGGAGAGGGGAGGGATGGAGAAAAAGTGGGCAGAGGAGGTGGGAAGAGAGGGTCCAATCAGTTTTGGAAGTTAGCTTCCTGTGTACGGTGGCTATAGAATGTTTTGAGCATGTTAAACAATTGGACAGCCTTCAAAATAGAGTCTTAGTGTGATTTGGTATTGGAACTAGTGCCCACAAGTGCTGGACACGATGTGAACATGATGGAGTTTTGACCCTGCCCTTCCTAGAAAGAGTTAAGCCAAATTTGAAGTGAAGCTCCTCAGTCCAGACCAAAGCCACCATCCGGGTGATTTCTGTTCTGCACTCTTTGAGCTGGAGAACAGGGGATGTGCTTCAGGCAGCTTTCACCCACAGAGGAGAGAAGGGAAGTTGTGCATTGTAACAGAACTCAAGACAAGGGTTTTCGCAGTGGAAGCAGCCCACTTCAGCTAACTGTATCTCAATAAAACACTTTGTGCAAGTTGAGCCCATAGAAGTTGGGTTGTGCTGTGCTGACAACCACATGTGCTGTGCAGTGAATGAGTTCATAAACCATGCTTCTTGCCCCTATGATAATCACCCCCTGTTGAAAGATTCTTATTGTAGACTGTCTGCAGTACAATTCAGAAGGGAAGGAGAAGAAATAGCCACTATTAGCACTTGCCTTTTAGTTTCCTTTGCTCTCATCAAGCATGGCACCAACATTTGCCCAAGCTTAAACTCCTCATACAAAATGAGATCACCCTAAAACAGTGGTTCTCAACCTTCTGGCCCTTTAAATACAGTTCCTCATGTTGTGACCCAACCATAAAAGTATTTGCGTTGCTACTTCATAACTGTAATATTGCTACTGTTATGAAGCGTCATGTAAATATCTGATATGCAGGATGGTCTTAGGCGACCCCCGTGAAAGGGTCGTTCGACCGCCAAAGGGGTCGTGACCCACAGGTTGAGAACTGCTGCCCCAAAAGGAAGAACTTGGAGAAGGAAAGGGTTGAATGAAGGGAAATTTTTAAGAATGCTTTTTATTAGCGGGATCTCACTATAGTGAATATGTAGATATATATTTTTACTGATTAATTTAGTTGAAGAGTAGGTGGCCAGCAATGGTGATTTACTTAGCCACTCAATTCATTTCATTCAACAACAGTTGCTCTGTAGTCATCTATAACACGGGTGCTGGGGTTCAGGAGTGAACAAAACAGACTCAGACCCCTCTCACAGGGAGCTTACATTCTCCAACACTTGCAGACTTAATGCACTTTGCAACTTATTCATCAAAACAGAATTCTACTAGCACCAAGAGTTTGAATATCCCAAAGTTCATTGTGATGGGATTTTATTTGAGAAATACCCTAAAGTTATTGTCAAATATCGGGCAGCTGTAGTAAACGAAAGGAGTACGTATACCTAATGCTGATGACCAGTAATGGGAAAATGTAATCATATCAGCAAAACCTCTACCGGTGGGATACGCATATTGTCATAAGCCATGTGAGCATTTATGAACAATTGACTATATTTCTCTCTCTTTTTAGTGGAATTCTGTGCGACCGCTAAGCCGAAGTCGAAGCAGGAGTTTAAGTCCCATCTGCCCCCGTAGCCGTATTGGTATGAGCCTGGTAGGTATCTAATCATTTTATGCAACATCATCCTATGATTGACATTTTAAAATTCAATAGTAGCCTATCAAAGAGGTGATTATAAGTCTGTAGGTAGAAAGAGAACCTGTTGCAATAACCCCAAACTGATTTTTATGATACTTTGGACTAAGGAATGGATCACCTAGAACAGCGGTTCTCAACCTGTGGGTCGCAACCCCTTTAGGGGTCGAACGACCCTTTCACAGAGGTTGCCTAAGACCATCAGAAAACACATATATAATTAATTACATATTGTTTTGTGATTAATCACTATGCTTTAATTATGTTCAATTTGTAACAATGAAAATACATTCTGCATATCAGATATTTACATTATGATTCATAACAGTAGCAAAATTACAGTTATGAAGTAGCAACAAAAATAATTTTATGTTTGGGGGTCACCACAACATGAAGAACTGCATTAAAGGGTTGCAGCATTAAGAAGGTTGAGAACCACTGACCTAGAAAGAAGTAGATGTAGTTTTTTTGTTTGTTTTAAAGAAAATGGGCTATTAGATGTCAGTTATAGAGAGCGGGACACCTTAGTCAACTGATCTCAGCACAGGTCCCTGCTCCCTCTGGAACTTACTCTGTGATTTGGAGAAATTGATCCAATGGTCTGGATTTCAGTACTGTATAGAGGGCACTGCAGGTATTAATTTTCCTCCCAATTTAAAAGTAGGAAAAATAAGATTAGTTTCCTTTTATATTAGTTCTTGAGAGAATGACTAATACTTCTGTCAAAGGGAAGAAGATAGCAATAACACCTCTGAAAATGAAAAAGGTTAGTATGATTCATCATAAATAAGTATGTTTATTTATTCAACAAATAATATTTAGTCAATGCCTTTTGAATACAGGGCTGGACCAAGACATGTGGACACCAGGCAGGCTAACAAGGTCCTGTCCCTTCAAATAAAAAAAATTAAATGTTTGCTTCAACCTTGTTTTAGAGAGGGTGGTGGGAAAGGAGAACCACACCCACTTCTCTGAAGTTATCTCTAGCAACGCAGCTCTAGCCCCAAACTTCTAACCCCCCGCCCCCAGCAAAATAGAAACAAACCCCTTGTAGTGATAAGACCCACCTGAGTAGCCGAGTTCGTGAGCATCTGTTGTTATTCCACCACTCCATTACGTTTGGCATTGTCTTCACCAAACATTCCTTCCTTCCGTATCGGATGGATGCTAGATTTCGGGATGGGGGAACGGGACACAAAAATAACTGAAACATGGTCTTTCCCATGGATGGGCTTCAATATTTTGTAAATAAAGTAATTGAATGGGGTATATAATTTGGTTCATAAAGAAGCAGGAAGTGCTAGAGTTATTAGGAGAGGTAAGATGCCTTCTGGGTTTGGTGGTGAGGAGGGGGTGCATGGGGGAGTTGATATTGGATTTGGCAGAATTTCAGTGAGCTGGGGAATTGGGGAGAAAAAATTCTGGTGAAGGAAGTGGCCTGAGAATGGACAAGGCATGATTCTGACACAGTTCTTTTGCTCTTGGAGATTTTAATATCACGTAATGGTACTCATCCAGGAATAAGTTTTACAGTAAGTAAAAGCAAAAGGATAGTGCATTTAGTAAACTGATAAATAAAAAGGAAATCTTGGGAGTTTTATCCAGGAAGCTTGCAATTCTCCCCAGTCTAAGCGGAAATGGCATGTCAGAAGAGAGCAAATCAGATCTCTATGTGCTGACATCCCTGGCAAATGTCCCCTCCGACATGCCCCAGGGATGATGGGCACCGTCCCCCTGCAATAAGCCCCTCTATGGTTCGACCTGCCTCCTCCTCCCCATTGTGTGCACAGGCAGAACAAAGTAATTTAAACTTCAGGTGAGAATAAACTATATTCTCAAAGGCAAAACTGCTGCCAAAATTCCGTCCTTCTCCAGCACCCTCTCCTTATAGCCAGTCTGGTGGTACAACTGCAAAATGAAATGCAAATGTTTTTGGTTGATCTGGTGCTGGCTTATTTGAGGTCTTGTGTGCAGAACAGCTTCCATCTTCGCGAGTGCCTCTCTGAAGTGTTTGAGAGCTCAGAGCAAGAGTGACGCTTGTAGGCGCTTATTTCTGAGCTGTAGCAGGTTTGCAGGCACAGGCGGTGGCTTTTGCTTAGTGAAAGCAAAGGTGAGATTTGAAAAATGAATGTTTTTTTTTCTGGCTTGCCTAGTGACTTCCCTTAATAGGGCAGTGCTTGGGACACAGGGGGCAATTCATAGGAAGGATCTGCCAGACAGTATCTGACTGTTGGCGCTTTAATTCGTTAACAATAATGTTCTGGGAAGCTTTGAATTCATTATGCCACTGAGCATTCAATCTCAAAGTATTTAGCAACCATTAAAGAGTAACAACAGAAAGCAACAACAAAAAAAATAAACGAAGACACCGGGCCCAGGTTTTAATTAATAATATAATTTAAACTAAATCGAGTGCCCATTTATTCCAGGAAGTAAAAGAGGAAACGCAGTGCCCAACCTGAGCGGGGAGATCACGTTCTGAAGTGTCTCAGAGCAACTAGCTAGCTGACTGTTCAGGGGGAAAAAAAAGTCAAAGGGAATCATTCATCAGGCTCCACCTACTGTGTAATCCACTTTCCACTTGTATATTTTCCAGATATCTCGAAGCCGGAGTCCTTCTCCAATAAGATGTGCACTGCCAAGTAAGTGGGCTGGTTTAGATGTTAGATACAACAGTCTCCTGTTTTTTAATGCTCCTTTTAATACTCAGCCTTGTGCAGCAAAAAGCATGTTTTGCTTCCCAGGGAACATCTTACCGCCTGACACCTTGTATTTCTGGATGGGTGGCCCCTGAGCGGGTCCCATGTGGGCGGGTGGGAGGAGACATAGACGAAACCTCCAATTGAGAGACTTGATGGACATAAACCTAGATCAAGCACCCTGCTTCATTTAGGTCCTACCAGGAGGAACCCTTTAGGAAGGGCCACAATGAACTTTTTTTCCCCCTCCCTAGGGTACTAAACCACCAGGCGTGTTCCTCTGCCACAGCACATCACCTGTTGTGTCTGCCTCCCTCCTCACTTAAGATAATGTGAAAGGGCAATTCTGTGTATCACACCACACAGAGACTTAAATGTTTTGGCTTGACGCATTTGTAACTTCAGATATATTGCATTTTATTTTATTTGATAGGTACCAACCCCATGACTTTGATAAAAACGATTGCATAGGTGTTTAGGATCACATTCATTCGAAGCAGTCCATTGCCCAGGTTCAGGATTCTCATGGCAACTGGGTGAACACCCTCGGAAAACCTTTACCATGCCGAGTCCAAAAGACAGAGGAGAGGTCGTAGTTTACAATCTGATCATCAGCATTATAGGATTAGCTCTAACTTGAAAACAAAATTGGGTGTTTTACTTTGCTTTTGAGGTTTGGAAGCCAGCCCTAAGCTCAGGTTGGGGAACTTGT